CAGATCAAGTGTGGGTTATTGTCATCTTATCAACGAAAAGTCTTGTTTTTATTTTCAATTGGAAATTCAAAATAAACGTTTCACATACACATATACCTGTACATCTATTTCAAACGTCATTTGAAGGAAACAAGCAATACTCACAAACATTGTTTTTTAGAACTGTATTAATCTCATATAGCTTTGAACAACGAAGACTGGTTCAGCATAACGCTTGTCGTATTTAAGTGTTAGTGATTTCCGGTTCCGGTCGTATTCACGATTCTTAGTTTATTACTGTTGCTACTTTGAACTCTATTTATTTGTATATTTTAGTTTATTTTATTTTATTGTATAAATTTCGCATCAAGTTTTATTTCAATTGCAAAAACGCGTTTTAGACGAATTTAACAAATGATTAAATTCTATAATAATTTCCCAAGAATCTTAAAACATTGCATCTGCATCAATTGCATCATACATGCACAATATCGTATTTAGGTAGACGAACAATATTAATGTATGTTTAATTTTCTCAAGATTAACAACGCGATACGAATAAGCTAACAGAACTTTAGACGATCCTAACATTTCAATTGATGTGCTGCTTTGTTTGAAGCCTTCTAAGATATACGAGACGCGAAAAGACAGGTCACTTCCGTCGAAGACATGTAATATATTTCCCAAATGCGGACTAAGTGTCCGGATTTACAGCGGGTGATTTATGATGTCGAATAACTAATGGTCTCGACTATGTATTTGGCTCTCCGAGTCTAGATTTGTCACAAGTTTAACCCTTGAATAATAGGAAAGGAGAATGAATAATTCCTGTCTCCCATCCTGCGGTGGCTAATCCGGTTTGATTTTTGTAATTGTTGGTTCAGATACATGTATCATGGGGATCGTTTATCACATGCATCATCGTAAATTTCATCTTACATTTCAAAGTTCTTTTTAAGTTTAAAGGCTCGACATTCCTGAATAAGTACCATGATTGGTTATTTGAGCCAGCCTGCGTTACTTATTCGTCGCGAACTATTTTATTTCCGCAGACTTCCCAAGAGCAGACTTCCTTGAGGTTATCTTGATAGCGGGGTATTTTTACTTTCATCTTTGCCTATGCCCTCGCACTCCCAACCAGACAGCGCATCCTGGGACAAACAATATGTTGGACGAGTGCAGCGACAGGTTGGCAGACGATTACTCTGCCAATGTTATTTATGTACAGTTTGTTTTAGTTCGTCTAGCTCCCTAAATGATCCTCAGATTGATTATACACAGGCTACTTATGAGTAAGAGATGTTTGTTTTCGTCTATCTTTAGATCTGTCTATTTGTCAGTGATTGTCATCATTCTTAATGCTTATTTTTACCAATCTTTATGTAAGTGCCATGTGCATTGATGTTTCGAACAAGTCCATGTTTTTGGCCGGTCCCCCAAAGGTCAAGTTCATTGTTATACATATCGTTTGGTCATCACTCTAGAAGGCCCTGTTGTTTGAAAACAAGTACTGCAATATCTCGACCGAGTTCATGTCAAGGTCAAGGTCATTATTACATGATATACACAACGTATCATATATTTGTTTTAGAATCCATGCATGAATCTGTCTTGAAAGTATTTATTTTTATTGAAGAGTTCAGTTTTTTCATATTTAAACATTTGTAGTCATCGGTCCTGTTCTGGAGATAAGCAAAGAATTTAACATACAGATGAGACACAAAATTATGTTTTCTCTTTCGTTTTCAATAACAACAGAAAAAGCAGTGACACGTCTTGTTATTTGACAAGCATCGTTGCGACGACTTCCAGTTAAGAGATCAATCAGATCACGCACGCCTGTAACACGTTGTGGGATAAAGATAGTTGAAACCCTAAATCCCATCAACGACGGTACTCAAATATTGACCGAAACAATAGAAAGTTAAAACATAAAGAAAGATACGGGTTCAAAATAAATCTTTTCTCTTGAGTCTGAAGCAGCATAAAGCACAATATTAAAACTACATAGGAAAAACATCAGTTGAGGAAATTAGAGAACTTATCACAGGCTGAGCAGCGTTTTACCAAAAATCATGAAGTAGAGGTTCGAAGTTCAAACCAGAAGACTCACTGAGGAACTAGCGGCAATAACAAATAGCTGAAAAGAAAACATCTCATTGAAATGCAGTCGATATTAAATGTCAAACAAATACGCAAGTAAGCTAGGCTTTGAAAGCAATATGAAGCTTGAATGTCACGATGGAAAGAAAATATCAGTTTCTATGACCTGAAACTAATTGAAGGAAAGTATGTAGACTGTACAGACGGTTCATAATCTAGCAACTGAAAACGAAAACTAAAAGTAGTGCAAAACACGGACAATGATCCTATTTATATGGAGACCACTGAAAAGGTACAAGAAGAGGAAGACCATGCGTTCTGGAAGGGTAATCGACTTCTGCTTTATTGAAGAAACCCACCATAAAACTAGGTAAAATCCAAGTAAGGTCAAGTTCAAGTAAGGTCAAGTCCAAGTAAGGTCAAGTCCTCATAGCGATATATTAGACGAGGACGCAGAAACAAGTATTAGTATTACGAACGACCACGAGACACCAAAGAGGAAGTCCAATAGATTCGGACTGCAAAAGCGTCTCGAATCGGCCCTTATCAGAGCAAAATTTGTCACCCGGTATGAGAGAGAATAAGTGCAATCCGCAGCATCATTCATCTTCAAAGAACCTATCAAATTGTCCATCATATACAAAATAAAATATCCAAACTGTCCATAGAGCCTTTTCACATTTAACAAAGTAACAAAACAAAACGAACAATCATAAGAGTGTTTACTATTAATCCCTGATGTGTGGCTAAAACTAACGTTAATTGGGAGCGCGCTACGGTTAGTTATAGGCCTTTTTCGGTGATATTTCACTATTTGTACCCTCTTTTTGATAACTTTAATGATCCACAGATTATATTTAAATCAATAGTACTAATCGTTTTGAGGCATTCCAGAACATGACTTCTTGTGCTTTGGATGTTGTCGAATCAGGCAAATGTGAGCACGCATGATGTCTTTCAGACATCGCGTGAAATCGGCGTATGCATGGGCACGGACTACGGTCATAGTAAAAAACAAATCATAGTAAAAAACAAAACGAAGTCCCGAAAGGACAGTTGACTACTGACACTGTCATGTTTCATATGCCTGTTCTCAAACATTTCTAAACACATGCGCAGTTCAACTGCTATGGAAGTGAATTCTGAACATTGTTATTCTCTTCACAAAATCCATTGTTTGGTTTTGACCACAGACTCTATAAATCTTGGTTCATTATCATCGAAGGTCTCTGGTGCCTTTTTTGTAAGCCTTGTGTCACTATTGTTTTCGAGAGAAAAAATATCAAAATTTCGGAGAACCTTTATTTTCTTCGTGTCTTTTTCTTCATTTGTTGTCGTTTCTTTTGTTTCATCGAAGAATATTTAAACCTCGTATTATATTGAGAATATGACTGATTGTTTAATTATAGCTGTGTGGCCTACCTTCATAAATGTTAAAAACAAAATGGGCATTTAAAACCTTACGATACAATTCCAAACGCATAATCTGAGCTAGATTCGACTTTGCCTAATCAAGGTTAAAGGCATATTAAAATAAAAACAACGATTATCTTTGATGTTATTATACACCAATAGGCGAAGTAATAGGAAACTATAAAATATAATGCTACATGAAATCAGCACTTCGATCTCATATATATAGTTATAGGTATTGAAAAGGGAATATCAACATACATTCCGTGATATTTATATGTATATGTGTCACTTTGTCGAGTTTAGAGCAAAAATCATTGTTAAAAGGGTTAATTAAGCATGTCTTATCTACGACTGTGGTGTTTGATACAGCATGGTTCCGGGAACAAACGCAAGTCATCGTTACTTCGAATTCGGAACATAGATATAATTAAAAATGCCAGCCGCAAGGCTTTCACAATCGATTTTAAACAAATGTGCGTCGGTCGGCAAACGTAAGAGGGAAATTTGATTTTTATATGAGTCATAAAATAAATTTTAAATCTTTATTTGTACGAAGTCTTTAAACTTGTTGTTGATTATGAAAAATAAAGTGCAGGGACTTTTTATAAAAGTAAATACTAGAGTTTGAGTGTGTCTATAAAGCTTGCAACGCTAAAAGCTTTACTAGTCTACGTTTGCTTGCTCTCTGTGGTCTACGTTCGAGAGAATTGGTCGGCTGATAAGCCGCCAACTTTTACGCATAACAAGACACGCCGTCCTATGCTTTAATTTGTCTGACCAAACCCTTCTGTCTCCCTTAGAGCATGTCAGTCTTTGTTTTTTTAACAGGAACAGACTGACACGACATGCCAGACTATATAGATATGGTTTTATGATCGTGACCTAATATCTCTGTTCCCCTCCCATATCTCCTGCAGATAACCATTTTATGACCCGTGTTTTCCTCCATAAGTATTTGTTAGCCTGCCGCACCGACTGGCGACCTAGGTTATTATTTATCGATCGACTATACCTCACGTCTTCTTAATGATCTGCTATGTCAACTAAATGATGATTTTTTACTCTTCATACCTCCTTTATTCCGTGAAGTATTGGATATACTTGGTGTGTGTAGGATGTGGGTTATAAACTGAGTAGGGGGCTATAGGCCTTTGAGGAGCACTGAATCCGGAATTATTTTGCCTAGTCACAGCAAAATACATCCAGGAGTTCGAACTATGTTATGTTGGTAAAATTCAAAAAGTCAGTATGGATGTTAGTTATGCCGTCTATACTTTAATAAAATGTTTTCTTTTTAAACAAGGTAACACACGGGCTACCGCTATTTCTTCCATATTCTTACACATCTTATTAACAACGAATTACTGTGGGTTTTTTTTACATAAGGTAGTAGATATTTTCTTTTTTAAATAATATTCAGTCTGAAAAACAGTTTGTAAAGATACACGTTTTCACAAGTATTATGCTGTATTTTTATCATTTATCTATTTTTGTTTTATCAGACGAGCCTCCTCTATTGGCTGCTGTTGTTGGAGGGGTCCTAGGTGGCGCTGTGATTATAACGGTCGTTGCTGTCGTTGTCATCATGTTCCGAATCCGGAAACGACGATGGAGAAAACCTCCTCCTGTACACGTGCCTCTTCCTCCTCCTGACCCTGACAGGGAAACCTGTGTGTAAAACCGGAAGTTACACGTGTGCATTTATGTCAACAGCGGAAGTGTCTTTGCTAACCTCTTTGATGAGAACATGCAATCATAACCCTGCATGATTGTGTAGGTTTATGTGTGAATTTGTACAACCGGAAGTTGAAGCGGATGCTGCCGAACGAGCAATACAAATTATCGAGTATGGCAGAATGAAGTCCCACTTGGTTTATTGTAAGTTAAATCAGGCCCTGGCATTGACAGACGAACGAGGACAAAGATTGCTACATGTATTGACATGTCGTTTATCACCGTGTACAGATCAGGGTCGTTTCTCCCTTGATAAAAACGTCTCTTAAGCTGCTTTACAGGTTTTATCATATTGAGAAAATGAGGATAATTTTTATTTGTGGGAAAATAACATTGTTTTTTTTCTAATGAATGATTTTATTTTTTTATTTGCGTGATACTTTGATACCACAACCGAAAGATAGTGCGCTAGTTGGACATGTACTGGCTGACGTTTGACTGACATTCGTGCCTCACGCAGCGCCACCTGTGTTTATCTACCGTGGAATCATTTTCATTCATTGAAATGTTATAATGTGTAAGATATGCCTTGTTCCGGTCACATCCATTTTTCGCTTTATAAATGTTTCTATGAACGACAACATCACAGTGTGAAAGAGCGGAAGGTCGACTAATTAAAGAGCGGAGATGAAATAAGACAAGATGAATTACCCTTATTTTCACATTAAAGAATTACAACGGGACTTTTATACAGGCATTGACCCACTATAGGACATGAGACATCGGTTTATACTCTGTATCTCTTATTTGTATACAATGTTTGGGTGAGTGGAACTTGTTTAATATGATGGATATCAGGATCAAGTTCAATATATTTGTCTTGGACACACGTGGAGGTTAAGAAAGCACCCTGTCTTAAGCGATTCAAGAATATGGAATGATGGAGCAATACACTTCCATAGTACACGAAGCCTTCTCTTTAATCGTACGTCAAGTTAACGAAGAGTCAGACGGCGCGAGTGTTACAATACATTGTCATCGTATTCCTATATATAAGTCATGTTTATACATCATCGGTTCTGCATATCATTTTTATCAATTGCTCATCAAAACCCTAATCGTTAAGGTATTATAAACTGTGTCCTTGTACTGAGTGAGATGATTGTAATGCTTCTAGAAAAGAATATAGCATAAAAAACATAACCATCACACACACGCATGTATAAAACGTACAGCGGCTAAATACCAGCTGATAAGCCTTCGATCATTGCGCTATTAACACGGAGATCCTTTGACGTCACATAATCGTCCAACAGTGACCAGCATTAACTTAACCTTAAAGTAACAGAAAAGAAAATAATGAACAGTGAGGATACAGTAAAGAAACTGGGATACACATCAAAGGGTTGTGTAGATGTTCCAATTAAAAATGCGTACCTTTACCAAATTCCTTATTGTGTTTCGTCAAAGGAACTTTTTACAAAAGCAAAACTTTAGGACATGTATGGCGTGTGTTTTTTTGGAGGAAATGGAGATCATGTCCTCGGAAGGAGAATTCATTTTAGGTGCATATCGGATCTTAACATATAAAACATGTAAAACTAGAATTTTGATTTTGTAAACAAAAACATGTCTCCCTTTATTAGCCAATAGACAAACTTCGGTATAAAAACAAATCAACAAAAAGGGCCATATCTCTTTATAAAGTGGGGCAGGAGACCCGAATTTAGAATGTCACACTCCTACTTACCAAGATACATTAAAACTATAGCAAAGTTTGGTCAACATAAGTGAAATAATATGGAAGTTATGCTGTGGACAAACTTCGGTATTAAAAATAAACAAAGGACCATAACTCTGTGTATAGTGGGGCATAAAACCTAATTTTAGTGCGAGAGATTCCGCCTTCACAAGATACATAAATATGGTAAGTTTGTGGTCTTGTAAGTGAAATAACATGGAACGTATGCTCCGGACAAACTTCGGTATTAAAATTAAACAAAAGGCAATTACTCTGTATATAGTGAAGCACAAGACCTAATTGCAGTGCACTGCACACCTTCTGTGGGTAATGCAAACATACTTCAAGTTAGATCAAGGTATATTTAATGGTTCAGAAGTTATGCCGTGGACACACTTTGGTATTACAGATAAACAAAGGATCCTAACTCTGTATATAGTGGGGCATAAAACCTGATTTTAGTGCGAGAAATTCCGTATTATTTATGTTTTATAGAAAAACTAAATCTTAAGTTCATGACACTATATCTTTTCTTTTTGATCATTGAATATTACTGTGAGACTAGTAACACAGATCACTACCCAGACTGAGAAGTTGTGAACAACTTACAACCACATGTATAAATTTATAGACTGGCCTTCATCTTGACAGCAAATACGGTAGCAAAACGCACTTCGCAACGAAGATATTCTATTGAGCGCATTCCATAAGTAATCTTTATTGCTGACAATTGCGTTCATACAACTATATACGCCGTCAAAATGAAGGTCAATTTGTAGATTTACTTCCTTCATATGATTTAAATGCATGAAGGAAAAACAGTCGGAGGGTACATGTGAAGCTACACGGTAAATCTTCATCGAATTATGCGTATATTAAAAAAAAAACACAAAGTGAATTACTCTATTTTTTCTTATGATAACTATCCGATCGAATGCTCCAGTACAAAGCCACCATTGTTTACTTCACGGATAAGTAAAAGTTGAACGGCTTTAATGAAATGCAAGGTTTGCCAGCATCCCTATTGTTGTATTATTAGACACGATGGATCCCGAATAGGAACCAAGGAATGGCTGCTATCGGCCTTTTATGTCGCTGAACCGTGAAGTAAACATAGAAGTTAAACGGTGCCATATTTAAAACATATACCACCCGCCGAACATTGCTTCACTGCATATAAGCTAATGTATAAGCTGTCGGAGGACTTTGCTTTGTCTATTCTAACATGTGTTACAAAACAAACTCCGATTCGTTCTGATTAGGTAGGTGATAGACATGTGCCAAGTTGTTTAGTAATTGCGTTCATCAGCCAATAGACCAATTCTACACGGCATATCCTTTTCTTTTAGTGGTTATACTGGTTTACGCAGCAAAATTGATTATAGTAATATTGTTCAAATTACAGTTTGAAGGCATTTCATTTCAAATGAAAAAAAAATGAGAAAACGTACTTCGATCATCAACAATTGTATCGAGCTTGTCTGCTTTGTGTTTAGTCCCAATTCCAGAGAATGTGACTAAGGAATCGAACGGGGATACCATTTACGACAAACCATCGGTATGCTAATGGCTCTGTAAGGTAGCATGTTTTACCAGCTGTGTGATTACAAGTAAATTATGGCCAGTAACAAACAGGCTTCTCGCTATATGTTCCTGATGATGAGAAATAAAACTACCCTACGTTTAGTAGCGGGTCGATACTTAATCAAAACAAGACAGAGACTATTTTCTTTAATGAAAAATAAATACGTTATAAAATCCCGTTTAAAAATGGTCCCGTTATAGAAACATACGTTTCGAGTAGAGTATAGGCATGCAGAAATATAGCGAATCGTAATTTCAGCATCACAAATTTCTTTAAAAGATAACGACACCCCGGAGAATTTATTTTACTTCAATTTCATGAAATATTCATTACACTTTTAAACAACCGGGACAATGTACTATCCTCAAAGGTTTCTATTTTTCATTACATGCAACATCGTGAGTTCCTTGTATCTGATATAGGGACTTAAAATAAAAGTGCTCGTGCAGAATATGGTCACAATTTCACACCATCGAATATTTGAAGACACTGGGTTCTATTTTGACCCACATTTTATTGGTGTAATTCCCCCTTTGCTATATTTTATATTATATACGTTCTTCAAATACACTTCGGGATGCCTAGTGTAAATGGTTTATCTTACCATAACACAGAGAGGGAAACTTCATCACTGCAGGAGTGGAATCGTAATAATCAGATCACGACTTTACTACTTCCCTGTTAGTCACGGGGGGCCAGGGGTGTAATCAGGATAAAATATATATTGAAACATTATTTTTTTGTTATAAAAAAAAAGCTCGGTAAGCTTAACACTAAAAAAGTGTCACTAGACAGTGAAAAGAAGTCATGCAGCAAAAGGCAATGTAAGGTTTTCGAGGCCATGTGACAGTAGGTAATCTAGAGAAGTCACGTGATACCAGAAATTGTCAGAAAGTCAGGTGACAGTAGACATTGCCAGGAATGTACGTGCTACTAGAAACTCTCAGGAAGACAGATGATACTAGACCTCTTTAGGAAAAACGTCATTCCCTAATCTCACACTTCTATTTCGACTACCTGGAAAAACGAAAATGTTAAGTGCTTAACAAAAATACTGATATATGTGTACAACGGTCTAATTCTAGTTTTGAACTCAATGAACTTCCATGGCTGTAAAACTTTTTGTTTTTATGAGAATTTCGTATCTTGCAGATTGTTCCGGGCTGATAAAATAGAAGCACGCTATCTGAAAATGCATTTGCATCTTTTGAATCACAAATGATGTAATGAATACAAAAACCCATCATAAACTGTTAAATGATGTCTTCTTGTATATTGAATTAAAATGATTTGTGATGGTATACAAAAGATTAAAGTTTTAAATTAGTGGCATGACACCTAGATATCCGAAAGGAAATTAGAATCAGTTAAAAACTCAGAGTCAGTAATTGTCATGGTGTTATGTTTTTCGTTTTATAGAAATACTCTTCAGGTTTGCATGTTACTTGTCAATTTAGAACTCTTCAAATAAAATTTTAAAAATAATATATTACCTAACAGCAGATGATAAAAGGTCGCGTGTTTATAGAACACAAAGGTGTGATTGCCGTGACACGTTTGTTGAAATATCATCGCGCAATATGTACGCTCACAATTCCAGTGAAAAAAGGGCAATTTATAAAGGATCCTATGCTCGCTCGGTTGCAATTTTCACCTAATGAGTTGAAGAATGGTTTCTGTCACGATCCACAGAGAATTCTCTACTTCGGATACGGAAATGTCGACAGTGGCGTAGCACTACGTATCATATATGTGTTCTTTCTCAGTAGGCAGACATGTTCAACTCATGTTCTTCTATTGGAAGATAAACAGTCAACAAAACAATGTAATTAAGACAAAGTGAGTTTGATACAAATCAATACCTGTTCTCGTCAACACGACTTGCGCACCAAATTACTCAAAACCGAACAGAACAGATTCCATTAAAGGATTTGTCTGACATTAAAAAACGATAATAGTAACTTTTAGCGTCATACAATTTTACTCAAACAAATGATTGTTAACTTTGCTGTCATTAAAAGAATGGTGGTGATTTAATAATCGTTTACTTTATCTCTCAATATGTTGCCACCGCTTCAATGCCTGTGCATCTTTTTATAGACATATTTTCTCTTGTTTTCGTCATCGATCGGCTAGACAACATTCAGATGATAAACGTCCCAAATTATCCCATTGCCATCTGTTTTGTTAAGAGAATAGCTAAACATCTACTGTCGTTCTCACCTTTAACAAGATACAAAATTTAAATATATATATATATATATATATAGAAAAAATAAAATTAACGACCGACTAAAAAACTAGCTGCTTTCACCCTTCACAGGGCTCTTCAGGTTTATTCTTCAGGTATATTTTTCAGAGCCCTGTGAAGGGTGAAAGCAGCTAGTTTTTTAGTCGGTCGTTAATTTTATTTTTTCTATATTTACTTCCTTCACATGGACATTTAATCACTTTTTATTATATATATATATATATATATATTCAATCCGCCTGAAGAAGCCCTAGAAGGCAGAAAGGCCTAACGGGCGATCTGAAAAAAATGTGTTTTTATTCTATATATATATATATAAATAAAACAATCGAATTGTAAATGTACAGAGGCAGATCTTACTGAACATCAGCAATCCCTTGAATTGAATGATCCTTCACGTTCTAAATAGTCCATTCCCACTGAAACGTAGCAAAGTGTAGCACAATGGCCTAGCTGTCAAAACTGGTATTCACCATAGATAAACCATCCAACAACAACCTGACGAAAAGCCCCGTGTGTCATAATGTCTAGAAATATAAAAATCGTAGAACAGTATATATCTAAAATAAAACTCGTCTCACCATATCTGTTAAAGCGCTGGTTTTATCTGAAAGCTTTTGTGAATCAATGGAGGATACAATACAACAAGGCGAGTGGGAAATAGACGTAGTTCCTCATGTGGTGAGGTAAACATATCACACACTTTAGTAATAAATGACACCGTTATGTTGTCAACTTCAGTTTGCAAAATGCAACATCTATCAAAGAATGCATACATCCAAATAAACAGTATACCTTCAGTCCGTCTCTCTCGTATACGTAAGTATTGTCTCATTCTCATTAAAAATATCTGTTTTTTACTCTTTCCTGTTTCAATTCATTCTCATTATCCCTCATGTCTTAAAATCGCAGGTGGTTCATGACTCAACATTAAGGATATAAAGGAACATCTAATTATCCTATACAACGACTATTAATACAGATTAAATACACTATTTGTCGGCCTTGGAAAAGCCATT